CAGCCTTTGCAAAGCCATTCAATGTGAATGCTAATTATAACACAAAATGGCAAATAGAAAACAGAATAAAGACAAGACAGCTTATCAAGGCTAGGCAGTTGTTTGATGTGATACAATCTTGCTGTCTTGATTGTTTTGACAAAGAAAATATGAGGTCTGTTACGGTGCTACACAGGAAATCCTTAAGAAACCAGAGAAGTAAAACAAAACAGGACTGAACAGATACAGCAGGAGAAGAACTATAAAGTGGGCAAAGACACTGTTCTGGGGAGATGCTGGTGATTTGTGCTGAAATGGAAATGCTTGAGCTGGAGGAAGAGATCTTGAGAGCTGGATTAAATTTATTCAGTATATTAATTGGAGACACTGGCATAAGACATTGAGCTGGAAATAGCTGTTGTTGAAACAAATAGGTAGAATGAAACATTGTACAGAAGGTATCTGATAACCTTTGAGCCTGGGGTAACAGAAAGATAAAGTGAAAGTTTCAAATTGCAAAATGAGAGCGAGAGATCAATAGTAAAAAGGTCCAATACACTCTGGGACCTCATTAAGTAAAATTGCAGGAAAGGAGAAAATTGCAAATGTATCAATAGGTTGTAGCTCAATTAGGTGTCACTGGTGTGATTTGATAGTGGAAGAAGGCAAATCTGATCCTCTGATGCACCAGAAGTGTTTCTTAGAGAGCAGATATTAATGCCATGATACAAAGCATCAACTAGTCTTTACTAGAGTAGTGAAGCATCGTCCTTGTCCACCAGGGATTTACTCAGCCTTGAACAGGTACTATAAGAACACATGAGAATTGATAGAATGAAAAACCAGTATCCCAGAAAAGGGCAAAGGAGTTTTGTTTGGATTCAAGAAGAGGTTGAGAGAGGATCAGTTGTCCAACACATGAAAGAAGAAAAAGACCTGTTGAAATGACAGGGAAATGTTCGTTTAAGTAAACTTAGGCCTAAATTTTTTATCACTACACTGTGGTTGGAAATTAAAAAGCAAGGTTGCAGGATGAGCGACCATAGCAGCTTACGCTTGTCTGAACCTGGGCTGTCACCTGGCTACGTTTCCTCTCCCTCCTTGCTGTAGCCTGTGACATGTTAGTGGCACATGCTGTTTAGACCACAGTCAGATCTGCTGCCTGCGAGGCTGAGGCAGCCCTGGTTCAGATTTCAGATGCTGTGGTCTCTGAAATATGGCTCCCACATTCTTCAGGAATACATAGTGAAGACAATAAAGCAAATTTTGAGATGGATCCCCCCAAAATGATGGAAGATTATAAATGAGTGTCTGTAGTAGAAAGTCCTTTTCAGACATGCATTTAGCTGCAGACAAATTCCTTTGCAAGGGTCAGCCACAGGGAAAACCCCAGATGAATCTAGCAGGCAGGAACGGATGCCTCCATCAGGGGAGATTCCAGCTTTCCTTCAGATGCAGCTGCAGTGGCAGCACTTTTAACAAGTTCAAGTCTAACTTGTGTTAGCAGGCAACAGAAAGCAAAACTGTTGAGTAAGGCACTGGCTGTTGGCACTTGACATGCACACAAATGTACAGAATGAACAGTGTGAACACTACTCCCATACCCTGCTTGGTAGAAAGCCTGTGATCTAGGAATGTGCAAGGGCTATTACAGATTTCACATTTAAACAGGTATCCTTCTGTATGCATTAAAGGGATAAAATATTCCTATAATCATAAGGTGAAAAATCTGGCTTTTGCATTTCTAAATTCATTGAAGTAAGGAAATAGGAAGGCAAAAAGATGGAGCACAGAATCTGTTGTGAGCAGTGGGGAGCAGCAGTAACCTGTTCCCTTTGCATTAGTGCCAAATAAAAATGCCAGTGCATGTCCTGGAGGCCAGCCTGTTTGCAGAGCTCCAGGACGGCACTGCTGTGCTACCCAGGGCAGCGTAACTTGCAAAGGATCCTTTACCTCAGACTGTGAGAGTACCTTGTTAGATGTGCTGCAAAAATTCATTCTCTTGGTCATCAAGGCAGGGTGAGCCTCGGTGCGGTTTTTAATATGGCATTGCTTTTTCCTTTTGCATTTTTACAGCTTAGAGCAAGGTGTCCAAATGGCAGAATCGAGTCCATTAGGTAGTTTTATCAGGCCCCTAGAAGGGTTGCTGTGTGTCTTTGGGTTGATAACAAGTTGCTGCATTCTCTGTTTAGGGAATTTAATAAGTGGTTCTCTCCAATGTACAGCATTTGCCATCCTTTCATTATAGCAACTGCACCAGTTTAAAAAGAGGTGGGGGGGAGACACTGAGTTTTAGCATTTACTAAACAAAAAGATATGTTGCCAGAAATGGCAGACGAACTTTACAGTGTGCTTACCACTCTGTTTGTTGTTTGTGGCAGTATGCCTGACTGCTGGGGTGATACAAACCCATATGATATTTTCAGCTACCCCTGGGCAGCATTTCTGGGACAAGGAAGCTGTGTACACAGCTATGGGATGTAGTTAATTGCATTTGGAAATATGCAATCAAAATTTGGGGGGCTGTGGCTTGGTCGTGGAGTGGTTGCTGCCAGGCAGGGGGGGCAATTTATGAAAGTCTTTTACAGCAGCAGTGCGTTCTGCCATTGGGATGTCCTCAAAAAAAAAAGAGAGAGGGGGAAGTGACAAACCTATTGCCAGGGTATTATCAAGAACCTTTCCTACTTTCCTCTATGAATGGCAAAATCTTGCTTCTTTTCATTTATTTCACAGAAGGATCCCCCTCTGGGGTGTGTGTGTGTAACTTGCCCTTGGAAACATTAGGAAAACTGATGTTTTGGTTTTGAGATCCCATTTCTTAAGGGGTGAGCATATGCATCAAATGAGCATATGCTACCCTATTATTTCCCTGTGGTCGCACTAGGGATAACAGTGGATCCATTGCACTCTGTCCATATTCTTTTATCTACATCATTATCTTGTCTGGCTCTGTAGTGGGGACACTTTTCTGGTGGAGACATTTGTCTCTGTCTCTTGTGAACAATTATCCTACTGCCTTTTCCTTCTCCTCACTGCTGGTGATAAGAGCGTCCATTAGGGAAGGAGGAATTACTGCTGTCAAGAAACTGTGGCACTGGAAATGTTACTACAACCTGTAGTAATAGGCAAGAAGTCCCGCTCCCAGGTCTGCAAATCTCCACAGAAGCCCTAGGGCCTGGGTGAGCGGCACCGAGGCTGCCATCGGCCACCGTCATGCATCCCCAGAGCTCGTCCTATTCCTCTCCAGTCCCAGCAAAAAGGAACCAAAGCTGCTTGCCAGAGGATCCTTCCTGAGTCCCAAAACTTAAACAGCTGTCTTCTTCACAGTCATGGTGTAAAGCAATAAACACATTTATTAAATGATAACCGCTTAGGGGACAGTGGATAGATGTATAAACTGTGTTCAGTTCATATATAAGCACTTGTATTGTACAAAAACTGCTTGAGGGAAGGAACATACTCATTCTCTTTATGGTTACACAGTCTGTGATTTTACCGTAATGCTATAACATAAAGCTGAGATAACATTCACCACTACATTTTCAATAACATTATCACGATGTACTGGTTAACTGAGGCTCTCAAAGTAAAAATGGCTCGTCCTGATCCTGTTGTGAGTCAGTGAAAGGACCAGGAGTAGAACACAGAAATCCTCTCCCAGTGCCACACTCGGTGCATGTTGCAACTTTATTCCCTTCCCTTTCTGAGCTCCCGGCATTTGCTCAGCAGCACTGACTTCGCTGTGACTCTGTTTTACCATTGCTGCACTGCAGTCTGGAAGGTGGGAAAAAGATGAAAGCGCAAGACTAATTGTTTTTCTTCTCATTACTCAGATATTGTCTGAGATGCATGGGGGGTGTGTTCTGATGGATCATGTGGACAGGGATAAGCCTGACACACGGATTTATGTGTGGGGAGGGATCCACAGTCTGAGACCACAGCAGAGGAAGGGAAGGTGGCTCTGAGCTGCACAGGGTGCAGAGCCCTGGTAGGAGATAAGAGCTCTGGCTTTGGGGCAGCAAACTGCCCCCTGCTCTGTGACCTCACCTGTCTAGTGTGGCTGGCTGGAAATCACAGATCACCTTGGCTGGCTCCATTTGCCATGTGGGGTCATGGAGCAAGACAGGCTGCAAAAATACCCAAAGGCACAAGTGAATCCCAGGTATTGCACAGGAGATTGGGTGGTGAATGCAAAAGTAAGGGAAGCAGCACTCATTGAGAAGCATCTCAGAAACAGACTTTCAACTTCCTGCAGATCCAGTGTCCACACCCCTAAGCTCTCCACATGCCTATCTTCTACCTTTTTTGAAAAAAAGCCCACCACCTGTCATGTTGAATTTACACCAGAGACAGAGTGATTCAAACAATGAGAAGAGTTGTTACAGCAATCCCAAAGGAAGACATAACAGCACATCAGAACCCAAGTGTTGTCTAACAGCAAACAGTCTCCCTGTGCTGTGAATCCCCCATCAAAGCACCCCACCACTGACTGGGTAGCACAACTGCTACCCCGTGTATCCATATTCATACAAGCACAAGATCCCTTCACTTCTCCATTTGCATCTAGACAGCAGGTCACTGTCTTACTGAAAGTCCTGTGGCAGTGGGTTGACTCTGACTATTCTTTTTAGAAAAAAATATGGTAAGATAAGCTGTTGTCCTTTGGAGATGCTATACATCTTTTCTCTGCAAAGATCCCCCATTCAATGTAAACGTGACTTCCCCAAAAATACAGCTAGTGTTGCTTTCCACACAGCAAAATTTGCAACCTACTTCACTTTTTTCAGTATTAAAAAACAAACTTGATTTAATAAAAACTTTTACAGATTTTCACTTTGGAGAAACCTCACCCATACCTGTGCCCTTAGCCCTGCCTGAGCTGCCATTGTTCTGAGCAAACCTAAAGGTCCATTTGGATTTTCCAGAAAGTAAATTTGCTCCATATGCCTCATAGTAGGCATCTGGTAAACCTGTAAACTATGCACACAGATCAGCTCAACTGTTTATCATTCTGTCTTCAGTGCAAGGAGTTCACCTTCCACACTGGCTATGAGGTGCTCGTACAGCGGCTGTTGGATGGGAGGAAGATGTGCAAAGATGTGGAGGATTTGCTCAAGCAGAGGTAAGAAAATCAGTGAAAAAAATGTGAACAGCCTCCATTTTCTCTCCTGTTTGGCATTTGGAAAGGAATAGTAGGATGTTTCTGAATTTGGTGGTGATACTAGTCTACACAGAAAAGGCTGAGTGATGTGATTTGTGAAGGTAGATAATGGAGAGGAGAGAGGACAGTCAGACATACAGAGCTCCATTAAGACCCAGGTCATTATTGGTCCAGAATCACACAGTAGCATATACATCCACAAGTAGCGTTACTGAGCTTCCGCTTTTGTGGGGAGCAAATGACCTGCACATTTTTCTCTGCCTTTGAACATGCTGCTGCCACAGGCACCATCTCAGTTTCCTGCAACTACTGAAAATGGGCCATTTTTCAAATACAGACAAAGCTACATAAGAGCCTACCAAAAGCCTTTCCCAGACACCTAAGACAGCCCGCATCGTTCACCAACCTTATCAGACTCTGAATAACAATGTTGTAGTTTATGTCTGTCCTTTACATGCTTCTTGAGTGCTACTCAACAACAGCTATGGACAGCTGACACTTCTCTGGATAAAAAAATACATATTACACAGCTCCTCTGACTCCTTTGCTATTCATTTTTGTATTTCTAACTTAGAAAAATATATTTGAAACTTCATTCTGTTTTTAAGTGGCTGGATTTCAACAGTTTTGACATGTAGCATGAGCCATGTACATGCTCATACATGACCTGTAGGAAAGGTCATGTATGAGCACACAACACAGATTATATATTCAGCAGGTAAACCTAGAACAGTTCATCTCAGAACTGTCTCCTTATGAATATTGCTCTGCATTCCTCAGTCACATCCTGTTTCTTCTTCTCATGCCATCCCCATCTAGTTTTCTGGTTTTAGGCTGGTTTTCTGAAGGCTACTTTTCAAGCACTGCATCTTTCAAGGGGATGTGAGCTGTCAAACTGAAAGTTGACTATTTCACAGAGCGCAAAGAGTCTCCCATCAAAATCTGAAGCTATTTGAATTGCTTTTCTTGACCTCCTGTGGAAGCATATTTTATTGCTGCATGTCACACAGTCCTGAAGTCGCATCTGTTTGATGGTAGCTCAGCTTCAACTGTTTAAAATAGTTCATTTGTGACTCATTACTTACAGAGATCAGAATTACACTGCAGGCTTCGGGAAAGCTTTGCCCTTCAGCATGCATCTGATGCTATATATGCCTGTGTTTCTTTCCAAAACATTACAGAGGTTTCTGCAAGTTGCAGGATAAGGTTCTTTCTTGTTTGTGGTGGAGGCACAAAGGACTTTCCACAGAGAAGAAAAAACACACGTACAGTCATTTTGCAGATCTGAAAGCTACAAGAACAAATGTTTCCATGAGCTTTTGCACATCTCCAGATCAATTCAGTGAGTGTGCATATGTGCATGTGCTTTGGTGTGTACATGCATATTGAAGGAGGCAAAAAAGGAGAAAAGACAGCAGGCACTGAGTTGCAGAAAGAAGCTATTATTTCTATTTTATTTCTGGAAGACGTTTGTTTCAGCTTGTCCTCGTGTCATTCATGGGACTGACCTAGAGGAGATCAAAGCATGGGATGAATATCTGTTCCTAGAGGCTGCCCATACCATGGGCTTCATGCCAGAATTTCAAAACGGACTCGTGCAGCAGCTGCCCTAAGTCCTGAAACCAGCTACCCTGGCTACACTAACACTTCAACATTTTTCCGTCCAGGTCGATTACTTTCGCTCACAAATACCCCTGCCGGGTCCAGAGGAGAGCCTAAGAGGTTAGGGAGTGAGAAAGCAGTTGTATTCCAGAACAAAGCCCCAGATTTAAAACACAAAGTATGTTCCAGCTCTCGATGGCTGCAGGGAAACCTAGAAGCTGTGTGCAAGAGGACTGGAAAGCAGGAAAGGCAGCACCAAGATGTGAGGAGGGGGTGTCAGCCTCCTGTCAAACTCCTCTGACCCTGGGCTAGTCCAGTCCCACGCCTGAGGTTTCAGGAAGATTTGGCCCAAGGGTTTTTCAGGAGCTGGGACTGGCTTAAGAGCTGGCCATGCTTTTTTTTCCCCGTGACACAGTGCATACTGATCAAGCAAAGTGGGACTGTAGCCCTGGAGTTTTTCTCATTGCTGTACGTCCACCGGCACTAAGAAAAGTCTCTGAAATGAAAGTGTTTCTTGTTATTAAAAGCAGAAGAAAATTAATCTATTCTACTTCTGCAGCGTTATGTGTCTCTGGAGTATCTTTCCATTTTGATGAAATTTCATTCATCTAACATGAAAATGAAGTGCTACCTCTGTGTGGCCTCTCACCGTATTTTGCACCCTGTTCTTCTAAGAGGAATCCCGAAGCAGTGACATAGTAACACCCCACTAAAACACAGCAATTTCTAGTGCAGGGTGACAGCAATTCACTAACCTCATGTGCGGTGTTAGACACATGGAAGCCATGGACAGAGGCCAAGAACAGCCTCCACTCCAGGCTGCAGCGACTGTAGGTTGCTGTACGACCAGCACTGCTATTCCACCAGCCTGACAGATCTCCTTGGGCTGGGGGAAAGCCCCCAGGATGAGCCTGCCTCGGATCACAGAAGATGGTTGTGAACCAGTGAAACTGCACCAGAGCCCCTGGTACAGCTGGCTAAAACACAAGGTGCTCACAGCCATCAGGTGCAGCGCAACAGTTGAGAGGGCGGTCGGTTGTTCTCAAGACACCCACCCCAACAGCTGCCATGTTGCAAAACTGAAAGACCAGCCCTCAAACTGCTGGAACTCACCAAATAACAATAATAAAAGCACAGCGTAGCCGAGTGGGAAGATGGATGTGAGAACAATGGGGTTGCATAGCCTCACACCCACATCAAAATTCCTTTTCTGAACAAAGAGTACGTTTCTCTAAGGTGCCAAGTTGCAGGCTCAAAACTGTTTGAAATGCTTTGAAACATTTTTTGAGAACTGGACTTAGCCTAAACAAAATCTGCCTCCCCCAATCCTAGCAACAGGCTATCTGTTCATTATTTGTTATTGACCATTCAATAGTTTTTAGCAGCTACTCAAAGACTGAGAACTCAGTTCTGCCCCATTCTTGCATCCAGGAGAAAGGAAATAACATATTTAGAACAAATACTTTTTTTTTTTTTTTTTTAACGGGGAATATAAATTTCTTCCAGAGCTGGATGAGGGGAAAACAACAAGGAAATAATTCTATTTCTTTATTAACCATAGAAACAGAACTACTTTCCTGAGTCACTAGCTACAGTTCCCCATTGGGTGAGACATTGCACCATATTGTTTCCCCCATAAAACTGTCACAGCCTCACCTTACAACTAGCAATGCTCCTTCCCCCTCTGTCTCCACTGCAACTGTTTAAGCAGCACCTCATGTTTTTAATGGTTAGAAATTTTACTGCTGCTCCCAGCTCCCATTTATTCACGACCTCTCTTAAATAGATGCCTTGGAACCTACTCTTCACTCTCCTCCCAGCTTTCATTTTGATAGATCAAGGCAGCCATCACCTTTTAGGTTTCTTTTGCAAAAGAGACTCTCTGTTCTGAGCATCTTCACTACACTTCTGTACACTTCTTCTTCTTCTAATTGAATCCAACTCTTTGGGGACAGAGTTACACATAGCACTCCTCAGTAGCAGTATTTCTCAAATAAAGTGTAACAAAGGTGTTGTGCAGGCATTTGCACCTAAAACTTGTATTTGACAAATACTAGGAAAAGAAGTAATCAAAGCCATGGAGAGGCTTCATTTTCCCTCCTTTCTTCTATAAACAGCTCACCCAAAATATTCTAGAGGTAACTAATTGAACGACGGTTGAGGAGCTAGAGAAATTAAAGAAACCGTATTTCTCATGTTTTGTATCTCAAATGCAATTACAAGATTTGTGTAAACATGATCCTGGTATCACTAAGAGAAACTGAATACATTTTTCTTTTAACAGAGCGCAAGCAGAGGAGAGATATGGGAAAGAGCTGATACAAATCGCCCGAAAAGCAGGAGGACAAACAGAAATCAAGTAAAGACTTCTTTTATTATTAGTGCACATGAAAGCTTTTTTGGAAGCAATATCAGACTCCTGTGTTTTGCCTATGAATGGGGTCATAAGCTGCTCACCTCAGTGCATTACACAGCACTTCACAATGCACAGGAAAAATGGGGAAACACCACAGTCCTTCAAAGCAGGATTCACAAAATTTCTATTTGAGAATTGCCAGCAGGTCTTTACTGAGCAATATTTTAATTTCAGGATTCCTAATAATGTTTAATATTTGCTTCCACAAGCAAACTAAGTGATGGGGGTGGAGGGGAAGGAAAAGAAAAGGTTGTGAAATGTTTAGGATGGTGGCTTGGCAATTCTGGGAAGCTGGTGGACACTGAGGGGGTGTGACAGAACAAACAGAAAGTGCAGACACCAAAAATTAGCTTCTGCGGCAGGAAAAAGGCTTAGCTTAGAAATACAAACTTTAAACATCTTTGAAGGGACTTAATTTGAAACAAATCAATGGCACTACTGAAATACACTGAAATGGTACATATTTTTCTCTGTCTCCTCTACTATTATTTTAGATCATGTATAAATTGTGTTGGGAGGGGAAGTTATATGTTGTCATGGAATTTAACTTAATAAACACTGTTGATAAACTGCTGCTGTTATTGATGGTAGCAGCAATAATGAGACATTTTATCATTATTGTAACAAGTAATAATACAGTAATCAGGTGGCAGAGGATGAAGATTTGGGGTCACAGAAGACAAGTCTGAAAGAAAAGACCTCAATCTAAACACAAAACAGCTCTATTGATCCCTGGGGCCTGCTAGCCTCATCCATCCCATATCTCATTTCTTAATTGCAGTCTCCTTTTTACATTGATTTATTGCTCTCAGTGTGAGCATGGTTTCCTGTTCATATTTTATGGGAAAACTTGACCTCAAACCCTTGCACCATCATGGCGTGCAAGTGCCAGGCAGTCACCCGTAGCACTTGCTATCGATTTGGTGGAAGCACATCCAGGCTGACAGGGAAACTGTTGCACCAACCCAAGTGCCTGGTAGTGTGGAAAGCACTGAGATTCACTCCAGAGAACGTGCAAACCTCTCGTCTTATAGTGCTCCATCCATCCCTTGCCCCTGAGCCATCCGGTAACTTATAGCAAGGTTCCTAGCAAAGGCTGTGGGAGATGGCTTCTACCTTGCTGGTGTCTCAATTTACAGACCTAAACAGAGAAAGGAAGGAGGAGAAAAATTCTTTTGAAATTAAAATAGCAGATTAAGTATGAATGTCTTCTTCCTGAACTAAAGGCGATGATCAGTGTTCCAGGTTTAACAAAAGGCTCCACCTAAATGTCTTTACTGGCAATGCAGGGCAGACAGAGCAAACGTGTGCAGAAACAGACAGCGTTGGCTGCCCTTCTGTGACTTAGTGGATAATTCATGGGTCTGACTTTTCCTAAGAGATTATAAGAGTTTGATTTAGAGGCAGAGCCAAGTCCCAGAGTTGGGGTATGGATCCAAGTTCCCCACAAGTCGGAGGAAGTTTGGACTGAGGCCCAGCTTCACTTTGATCCAGCAATTTTATAGCTTGGCATAGAGAGAAGGCTGAATATACCAACAAAACATGCTGCAGAGCTGATTTACTGTTTCCATAAACCCACGCCTTGTCTGGGTAGCGACCAGCTTTGCACTGGTATTTTTATCAGAGCAAATGTCTCACTGTATCTGTACTGAAGCAGAGAGAGGCAACTTTTTTTTCTGTCACTCAGCATTCTCTGGAGTTACACAGACAGGCAGTGAAGGGCATTTGTCCAGAGCGAACCCTTTAAAACCAGAGGAAACTATTCAGGGTCTATTCAGGGTTGGAACAACTCATGAAAATGAAATACTTGGTTTTAATGCCTTAACATTTTTGACTTGGTGTGAAGTTTCTGCTTGTTAATATGACATTTATTGCTGACAGCAGTTCTGCTCCTAAGGTCAGTCCTTCAGTGAGACAGGAGGGAGGAAACCTGTGTACCACCTGTAATAAGAAAAGCTTGAAAGGACTATGGCAGAACTATCCCCCTGCATTATTCCAAGTGCTTGCTTTTTATAGGGCTCCCTATTATTGACTAGCGTACTGAGTTCCAATAGCATTACAAGTACTTGACAGGCTGAAGAGGGCAGTTCACATCTTTAAATGCAGCTTTGGGTAGCAGTATTTCTCAAATAAAGTCTAATGAAGGTGTTGTGCAGGTATCTGTACCTAAAACTTGCATTTGACAAATACTAGGAAAAAAAGTAGCTTCTATTTTTTTTTTTGCAGACCATTTCACAGAACTCTCTGTGCCATGCTGTGTATTGCAGAGGAGCAGGAATTACTAATTTTAGATCACTCATTAATTTTCTTGCTAATGTAAAATTACTATCCTCTAGTTTTAAATTCAGTCATCTTTTAAACATCTCAGATACTAAGGCCTTCTGTCACTTCTCCTGGGAAATTATTTCACGCTCCAGTAGTTCTCAATATCAGGAAGGTACCTGGTACCCTTTCAAAAATGTTGATAAAAAGAACATAGAAAATCAGTCTGCAATAACCACCCAAAAACTTCCAGTATCAGAAAATACCCAGAAGACCTTAAGAGAAACAACTGCAAGGCCAATTACTTCTGTTTAGCACGCCTCCTGAAACTACGAATTGTCTGCAAAGACCTCCCATTGCTCCACCAGGTCAAAGCGATGCTCTGTAGCTGCTATGGAAAGCAGAGCAGGAGAGAAGCGGCACAAAGGCGGAGCGAGCAGCAGGCCCCATGCCCCATGCCGGGGCATGCTGGCAAAGCACCTGTGGCAAACCCACGCTGCAGCCAACGCCAAGGCTGCCGAACTGGAGGCAGCGGCACCGCTACCTGCGATGGGCAGCCCAGCAGGGCCTTGTGCTTATGTCCTCACATTACCAGTGTCAACAGCTCTTTCCAGCTCCAGAAACACAGTTCCTGACAGCCACCCGGCTCTTCTCATCTCAAATCCTTGGAGGTTAAAAAATGTAGAGGAAAAAAAAACAACCCTTTCTGTTTCTCCCTGTACTGGCAGAGAAGAGGGTCTGCCCAAGGGAAAAATTAAGCAGTGGTTGTTACTTCAGCACAGTCAGGACTGGCACAAAACAAGGTGAAGAGAATAAGTACAGTTAAGTAAATATAAGCAACAAGGAGAAGCCTGGAGAACTCTATGGCACATTGTATCAGGTAGTGGCCATCGCTGTAGAAAACAGTTGTCTCCCAAGCCTTCCCCATATTTTAAAAGCCTTTAGTTTCAAATCAAGGAAAAGAACAGTTTAAACATTTTTTCAGGCTCTTCCTTTCTCTCTCAAACTTTTGCTTCAGCTGGAGCAAATTGCTGAACTCAGCTAAATGTATAAATAGATTCAACTGCCCATTTGTATTTACTGAAAGACGCAGATGAAGAAATACGCTGCTGACTTGAAAGAAAGACAGTACGGAAGGCTCACTGAAAAGTAACAGCAACTCTGGGACCACTTTCCATTGCTTTGAGAAAAATCTAGGTGACAGCAGCTATCAGGTTTCCATCCCCTATGCTGTCCCAGTGCTTGTTCCCTCAGCATGGTCACAGCTCCTCTGATGGAGAGCTGACCCCTGGGGGCCCGGCCCTGCGCACCCCTGGCAGAGACAACTACAAGCCAAGACTGTACTAGGACACTTCACTCCTGATTATCAACACCAACATAGCATTGTGGCCTGGGAAAAGACAACAATGTTGTGTCTCCACCCACAGACTCCTTAGCACCAGAAATGTGAGAAAACGTTTTGACCTGAGAGCTAGCAGGGGACAGGCTTTTAGCACAGCTACTGGAGGTGTGACTGACTACAGTGGGGTCCTCACTGTTCTTTTTCAAAACAGTATCTGAAATTGCTGTAGTGAGCCTACAGCTGTAGAAAAATTTCTAACAAAACTGAAATCAGAGAGGCAGACATCCAGCAATGAGGGAGATGTGCTGCAAGCACCTTTTTTTTTTTTTTTTTTTAATAGCAAAGACAGAGTTTTTAAAGGAAGCCAGTGCTGGTTACCATGGGCATAGCAAACAAACAGTCCAGCTTCCAGCTTAAGAAATAAAAGTTCCCTGTAAGTGCTGCCTAACAGCCAAAGGACACGATCATTCAATAATCCAGCCTGATTCAAGCAAATTTAGGCATTCTGGCTGTTTGCCCTTGCCTCTAGCACTGCAGCTGGTAGAAACTACTTCCTATAGGGAAGGGAGATATCCTCTTTCCAGCACATGACACAGATCTAACTTAGCAGTTGCTATAGGCCTTGGCAAGTTCATTCTAATGTACAGAAGGATGTGCACACTTGAATCTAAGTGCAAGACTGCAAGAAGGGTCACACAGGCTCAGACCTAATTAGGCTTTAGCCTAATATTCTGTTCCCAACACCAGGTCCCAAGGGAAGAGTAGAACAGGATAAGCATATGAGGATATTTTTCCTAAGTAATCTTCTAGCCTTAGCATTCTGTAGTTCAGGGACTGCTACACCAGCAGCAGCTTCGTATGCAATAGGCCCCAATGGAGTTTTTTAATCAGAAACATTTTAGCATCCACTGAGACTTAAGGTAAAGCCATGTACTTCCACGTTAAGTGCAGAAGTGTCTTTTTCTTTGTTGATATTTAGTCCACCACACTTGCCGTGTTAGATCAGACATAAATGACAAAGGCAAGTTAGCTTCCTCACAGCAAGGCTCCTCAATGCACCTCTGCACTGGTGAGGCACAGGCCCACTGCCTGTTCTGGTTCTTACACTCAGGACCATAACACCACCAGAACTGTGGAAAAGGCTGGCTGCTTCCTTCAGTCTAAGCACCTGGAAGTGCCAGCAGAGTCATGGATGCAGGCTATGCCTGGGAATGTGGGCGGCTAGGGAGTCTTAGTGAAAGCCCTGGGAAGAGAAGAGGTATTGGAAGGGAGCATCAAAGAATTTCAGTTGCAAATGTACCTCTCGAGTGGGTCAGACCTAGGAGAGGGCAGGGCAGCC